CGGAATCGGTATAAGTGATGCGGTTCTGGTCAGGAGTGAAAGGGATAATAAGGAAGGGGGGAGTTGCCATATAATTTGATACGAAGCTTAAGTGTGTACGCGCAACAGACCCACCACTTATTGAACTCCCAGACTCCGTTGGTGTCATTTCACCCTAGGCCACACCAAGCATTTACTGGGTGGCTTCTACCGACCACCCACCTGTGGGGAAGAGCACAACCAGCTACTGCTCATCACCACCACAGGGATACGCGACTTCGGCTATGACCAAATCACCATAGCTGGAGATTTCAATGCCTCATCCCTGGACTTGGGCCCGAAGTATGCTCAGTGAAAGTTCAGTCCGCATCCACTACAAACCATGGGAAATACAGAACTGACTGAGAATGCTGGAGACGACAGTAGGTGGGGCCCTAGTGTAAAGTCATCGAAACTAGGTTATATTCTAACCAGTGACCAAATACTCGTCGAAAAGGTCCAGATCATGACTTTACCAGGAAGTAGTGACCATGCAGTCATAGGATTCGATTTTTTTCCCCATGGGCACCTACAGTGGGACGCCACGCAACCATATCTGGGCATTATAGCACAAGGCGGACTATGCTGAAATGCGGAGGTTTTTTCCGACGCAGAATGACACACCAAATGGCATGAGTTATCTGTGGATGAACACTCGGAAGTAGCAAGACAGATCATTCACACACCAATGTAGGATATCATCCCTCTAGTCACAACACAACCGAAGAAAGGTACGCATGGCTGAAGATAGGTACGCAACGTATTGTGCAAGAGAAGCAGAAGTCTTGCTCTACATGGCGAATATCCAAGTGTCAGACCGACCATGAAGCATACCTGGAACTTAGGACCCAGTGCAACGTGGGAATCAGGAGTGGCGGGAAGCCATTTCAGACTAGCCTTACCAACAACAACTGGACAAAACCCAGAAGCCGGTACCGATTCGTGGCGGAGAGAAAACGAACCAACCAGGATGCAGGCACCTTAGTAGGTCCGAACGATCAATACCTCACTAGTTTGCAGATGGCTGAAATATTCAGTTTAGCCCTCGCCAAACAGTCAAACAGCAATGAGGGTATTACTGGTATGAACCAAAATGGAGGTATTACTACTTCACAGGAGGCAAACCTAGAGGCTACCTCCCCCCCCCCAAATAAACCCGTCAATAGTACTAGGACATCATCAATATGATAAGTTACATATACAATTAGCAAGCATATTTAATAATAATAATAATAATTTAATATAATACATATTTTCTCCTGTGTAGGACACACCAATTGTACAGGCATGGATAAGTATTATTTAAATTACATAAATTTGGTTTATGGTTAAATTACATAGTTGCTGTCGTTTTTGTCTTTGTTGTGTGGGAACAATGTGATAACTAGTCATTCAATGGAGAACATCAAGAAATATAGAAATATTGTCTTCGCGTTAACAAAAAAAACCAAGTATGTTTTGCATGAATTACAAATACTTGGGAAAAAAATAGAGCTTGAAGTAATTCCCCCATATAACTTTGGTGTGTATGGCATCGAGTCTCATTCTTGATTTATATACAAATTTGGTAATAATTTAAAATAAGTTATGTCAGCATTTCCATCGTTCTGTTCTTTGAATATTCATCAATATAGGATTATAGTCACTGAATGTATTCACGTGAAGTGGGTGGGACTTCTTGTGGTGAGAGCTGTCTGCTAGCCAAAATTAGTAGACAGCAATTTACAGCAATGTCTACGTCCAAAATCACTAGACACAGATAGCAGACTACCAACTTCGTCTATAGCTAAACACCTAATCGAGATGAACCATAAGATTGATGTTAACTCAGCCTTTAACGTCTTCTATAAAAGTGGTCAGTGGCGCTTATTTAAATACGCAGAGGCTATAGCTATTCATAAACGTAAGCCCCCAACCTCCCCTGTGTGTTCGAAAACAGTTTATTATTACTCTTAACCTACCTTGGTAATTCTTATTTGATTGGATTACCAAACGTTGTGTTAATCATTCTTTAATGTTTTTATTAATTTGTGTAATTTAAATGCCTTTAATTTATATATATATATATATATATATATATATATATATATATATCGATTTGACAAGTAAATATATGAGGGATCAGATTGTTCCAAATGCATAGCGCAAATACATCACATTTTTCAGATAATCTCCGTCTTATTCTAATAACACTATCACAGAATTTTGTTTATTATATTTTGATGACTGTTTAATGACTTATATGAGTGAGTAGAGTTTTTAAAAACAAGATACGTCCTTTTTATATATCAACCTTTGTTATGTTAATTTCCATTGATTCCCCTGAAGAAGTTCGGATCAGTTTGCCGAATGAAACCTTGGAATTACTCATTTCAATTTCGCAAAATATAATTTTTACAAATAACCAGTAGGAGTTGAATATATATTCTTGCAAAAAGAGAATAAAGTGGCACGTTAATACATTTTAGATAAGAAAGCACCATTTTGTTTGCTTTATTCCTTCAACTTCCCAATGGAACCCAGGTCTCCAAGCTTCAGATTTGAAGTTTTAGCAATAATAGTGCTTATTTTTTTACAGCGCGGAATTGCTGGCATCGCATCTAACCTTCTGTTTGCACCTGACTCACAACTCACTCAGCCAAGTGAAGTTTAGGAGTGTGCGTCAGCCTGACATGGAACCCCGGACCAAATGAGTGGTTGGCAAGTATTCTACCAATGAACTGCAGGCAGAAAACCTACTATATACCCCACATTTCTGTCTGTTTTCGACATAGAACTTTGCACATATGTGCGGCAGTTCAAGTCGTCACACTCCCTTCTTGTAGCACACAAAGCAAGAGAAGAAAGTACAAGAAAGGCATAATAGAGACAGTAAACAGAGGTGTGAGACAAAGGAATAGTAGTAACGAAGAACAACATAGTTTAATTGGAAATCATAAGTCATTTACCCACATTTACGGTCAGAAAATGTATGTTCAACACTTGTGATTATCAGTCAATCTTTTTATAATGTGGCTTCGCTCCAGATAACATAAAAATAAAAATAAATAACCCAGCGAACTCTATCAACAACCTTTTTGTGTTAACTTCAATATCTTGAATACAACAAACTATTGTTTTGTCGATCTGTTTATAGAAAACCGAAAGCCTAAAGAGTAACTATTATGCCACTTCACACGGGAGATAAAACGCAGGCACCTAGGATAAAAGACAGCCAGCTAAGCTTTTTATGTCTTCCACTCTCAATGGCCAGGTCTCACTCACAGCTATAAAGGAGGAGTGGGCGGACTGATGAGCAGTAGACCTGCCCTTTGGTCGGCAGCCAGCCGGATATCACGTCTACTCCAGAGATGGCGTAAACTGGAATATGCGAAACTAGCCCTCTGTATCCGTGCTGAAATTTCGTCAGAAACCAACCTATTTGCGTTGGCTGATGCAACTTCCCAAATAAGTGAAGCGGTCAACGTGCTCTACCACTTCACTCCCTATTTCTAAACTAGGAGTCAGTGTGGTCCAGTCTGTCTTGTAACATCATCTTACATTTGACAGAACGGGAGAATCGCATGCCAAACATTCGTAGATTGCAGCTCAAGGTATTCAGAAGACTCTGCATTTTGTCAGCGTCCCCTAGTTACAGCTTTAGTAACCTCAGTTACGGAAGGGGACCTGTGTCTATATCCTATTCGGGGAGGTGTTGGATGTTCGGCAGGTTGAGCGTGGCTGTGGGCCAATTAAACTGCTCCTCATAGTGTTCTTTCCAGCGTTCCGGTCGTCTATCCTGAGAGCTAATTATGGTGCCATTTTTCTCAGAGATTGTTTCACTTATCATCTACCTTTTACCACCTGTCTCCATGATAAGTTTGAATAATTTTCTGGTGTTACCAATCGCCGACGCCTTTTCCATCTCTTTTTTCTTTAGTCGGCCACCACTGATGGCGGTCGTTAAGGTGACTTCTTGTTAGTTTTCGCTCCTCATCATAATCGGAGCTTGACGGAATCAGTCTTGCGTCAGTCATTTCGGATGAGGTGGTAGAAATCCAATGGCTCTTACTAACTTTAGGTTCCAGGTTATTAACAGCTTTTACAGCTGTGTCTACAGCTAACCGTATGTTGCGCCAGGCTTCGTCAGGAGTCCTTTTGTTAACCTCAGTTACTCGTTTGGCTATTTCTTCCTTAAATAGGGACTCAGTGTCTCGATCTAGTTGGGGAAGTAGCTGCTTCGCTGCCAACATTTTATGTCCATTCAGACGTAAGAATAAGCTCGCCCGGACCAGACTCTACGCACGTGTTTCAGAAGGAGCGACAGTCTTCTACTGACCCTCGACAACGATACCCTATCGCTTTGGGGTCTCTGACTCCAACGTTGATTCGGTGATGGAGGTCGCCACCAAGTTACGCAATGTCTCTCTTTGTGCCTAAAGTTAGTGGTGACTAGGAACAGATGATTATCTGAACAGAATTGTAGAAGACAATCACCGTTGTCGGTTTGTCAGTATGGAATTCCCCACGTACCACCTATACACTTCTCAGTCTGGTACAACTTCCCTACTTGGACATTGAAGTTGCTGAAACAACTGTATCTGAACTTCGGGATGTACAATTTTTGGGGTCGACCTTTTCTAACCGCCTCTCTCCAGAATGAAGAGACAGCATCTGAGGGAAACACCTTACTGCTGTTACATCCCTGTTTGCCTACAGACCCCCACCAGCATAGTGGAAAAAAATTCTCACTATGCTGGTAACTGCTTTTAGTCTAATCGACATGCTAACAACCTTCCTGGCATGGTAGGACTTGCAGGAACAATAGCTCCAGCCAGTATAGCTTGTTGGGTCATTGCGGTGTGCAAGCCCAACCACCACGTCAAGGTAGCAGCTATTGGTCGGGTTCATCATCATCAACAAAACCCTAAAAGTTAGCATACTGTGGATAGAAAAATACTGACAAATATTAGAAAAATATATATAATACAAATGTCATAATATAATATACGCATACATATGTACAGAAATGCTTAAAAGTGTTTTTAAAAAAATACAGAGAAAATTATCACAGATTAAATAAAGCATCTACAAATAAATTTTTAAAATGATTTTTAGCATTTTTAAACAAATGAAATGAACTTCCATAATACTTTCTAAAATAGAAAAGAAGATTTCTACATTCGTACAGAGAAAAAAGTAATGCAGCAGAATAACTCATTAGATTAATAGGCGATAGACATTTAACAGAGTTTGTAATATCTATAATACGTACGCTTAGATTACAAGATTGAAGAAGATTTCCTCGATCAATATGTTGAAAAGCATGACTTAAGCAAAAACGAGAAAATTCTTCTCCACAAGTAAGGAGTGATGTTGATGATGACTGATAATCCGTTTCAGAATAATCCCCAGTGTTATATTCTTTTTCTTCTTGTTTACGCTTTCTACTACTAGTCGACTGACCATTGAACCAATTGTCAGGTGTTAAGACTGTAAAAAAACTACGTTCACAAACTTTGCACAATACAGATAAAATGAAAAGACGCGAACTGGATATCATTTGACAGTACAATGAATAGAAAAATGATGAATAACACCATGTGGAATTTCCACAACGTGTTGTCATATGTTTGACTGTAGACAATTGAACTTGACAATTTGAGCATATTAGTGAGCGATGAAGTTTTAGCTCTTGTACAATCAAAACCTTTCCATAGGTGTAAAGGGGTTCACTTTCAGGATGTTGCAAATAATGGTGATAGGCACACATTAACTAAAAAACATTAAAAAAAAATGAAATTATTCAAAAAATATATATTTTTTTCTTTTGAATTACGCATTCAATGATACTTTATGCATAAAAAAAATCAAACAAATTATACGATGAATAATATGATCAAGTCTGGAAACGCGAAGTTCAAGGCAAACAGTACAGTAGTGACAGTAGTCGTTTGAATGGCAATCAAACACTTGTACGTTTTAAATTTCTTATTCCACACCTTTATTATACCATGATTAACAGTTTATTCTTCTACTTCTTTCAATTTCCGAATCAAACTGTTGGTCAGATGATGTTTCTCCTTCATAAGGTGGTATTGAGAATTATAGGTTATGGAATCGCTGACATCCTTCTAAATAATTCACAATGACGCAAACATATATAAATATATATATATATATATAGTGCACCTTGAATGTTTTGCGTTTTTGTTTTAACTCATATATGTACGATGACACTACGCTATATTTTTGTCTAGCTAGGGTGCGCTTCCACTCTATGCTGGTAACCCGTGCATTTCTCGGAGTCCGTAGCTTAGCCATACTAACCAGATAAGTCCTAAAATCTCCTCCGCCCCCTTAATAATCTTAACATCCATATTCCGCTTAAATATATTGTTCAGTAATAATAATAACAGCTTTATTCCAAACGGTATTTGTGGTACAGGTATGGAATTTTCAGCGTGCATTACAGTATATTGCATCTAATTACCTCATAAATAATATAAGATTTTTAAAATAAAAAAAACCAACGTCAAAAAATAAAAGATAAATTAAAAAAAACAGCGTAGACTTTACATTTCAAACAATGCATCACAGGATATGAAATATAAAATCGGTATGTAATAGAAGATGAAAACAACAGTGTAATAGTAACGAGGAAAGGAAAACAAAAACTAATGGGACTATTTGCTAGAGTGCCGCAGTAACTTGATCATGTCATACCCAACGGATTTCTCATCACATAACAGCTGTGACAGATATGGTATTGTGGAGTTTTTGTATTTGGTAGTCCTAGCATATAGCCTCTTATAGCTGCTTCTAGTTCTAGTTCTACCAGATGAGATGCAAGGAGATAGATGCGTATGGAGAGGATGCTTGGGGTCTGACAATATTGTATTCGCTAGTTTCTTACATGACATTATATGTCTATCCACAATAGTGTTAACCAGTTGGTTTAACGATATCCCACTTGCCCTACTAAGGGCTTTTAGTGCCCTTCTCAGCAAAGCAAAGCAGAGCATCCTGCTAAATAACGGTGTCTTTTGATTTTTGCCTGGTTGTCAGTGCGTATAAGACAGACAGGTAACATGCTGATTAAGTGATAGTTAGGCTCATTAAGTTTATTAAGCCTGGTATATTGTGATATATTAATCGCTACAGCTGCCCCCCTTATATATATATAGTCCTTATTAACAATCAAATGTAAACCTCAAGTTAACTCAAATCCGACGATTATGTTGCGTCTCACTCAGTCACCTTTAAAATGGTTCACTTTGAATAAATTTGTTTTTTTTTTGGTTACAGCTTGATTCCACACTGTATCTATAATCGACCGGTAAACTCGTGCATAACTGTGCATCGACTGAAGACATTACAGCCCAGAAAGCATATAAAGAACAGAACACTTAATGAAACTAATAAACAAACGCTTGGAAGGTAAAATAACTTACTGAACACATTCAGGGTCTGTCTCCATGATAAACAGCGGATATGTTTGCATCGTTGTGAATTAAAGGGATTTCATCGAGTATAGGCAAACCCGTAATTTCCAATACTACCTTAAGCACCCTATTTCGATAACCTATACCTACCTACATGAATCTGATCATCAAGAATATCTGCTATTTCGTAATCTGATTACCCTTAAATTTTCACCAATCCCCTATCACTATCCGGATAACTTAGTTTTACCAGGAAAGTAGCACTTCTGTATGCACAACCCTAGTTGGTAAAAACTCACAACGTATTTCTTAACTCAACCCCCTACATGTAGCCACAACATAACTGGGCCTTGTTGTTGTTCCTTCGTCTTCGTATACACGAACATAAGCTAGCCGTCAAAAAACATGATATCCACTCCCTCAATCACCTCACTGCATACAGACAACCACGGACATCAATTCAACTGCGACAACGTTCAAATAATAGACAGAGGAAACAACAAGAATGCTAGAGAATTTTTAGAAGCCTGCCTGGTATTCCAGTGAATCATCAATCAATAGACACATAGAGATAGACAAAATTTATCAACTGATAAGAAAGAAACCTCACACACAAAGGGCCAAAGTTCAAGTCAAAAAAACAATCAGTTCCAATACAAGTAGCTGCCTAGGTGTGAAAACACAAAAACAACCAATCACGTCCAAGGTCACCGACCAGGAGAGATGACTAATAAACTCGTGGAGAAATCTAAAAGCTCACTTCAGATTGAAGTATGCGCTGAAGATGTCACCTAGTAGAGTGATGAAAGCTTTGCAAATTAACTATCCAGCTCAGGGAACACAACCACATCAAAATCATCCATCTGAGCTACAAATCTTCTCTATCATATCCAGACAATATAAGCAGTATTACAACGTCAAGAAGACATTGAAGTAAGCCCTTTGATAGGGCGTAGTATTTAAGTATTTTTTAAGTGCTATCTAAGAATAACCCCAGTTAGTAAAGGAAGAACAAGAATATTCTTCTTCTTCCTTTACTATCCTCTACAACTCATCTTCCGGAAATACATTTTCTGTGGTTCAAAACAAATCTCATTCCATTTTTGTGAGTTATTACTTGATATAAACGGTAACTTAACAAATATGTATGTTCGTTTGTATTGTACATCCCGTGTCAAGCAACTATCACTTCTACTATTACGGAAGTTGGACGATTTAACATGAGTTATCTTATTATGTATACAGATTTTCTTTTAAGACACAGTAACAAATCTAGGAATTAAGAATAATTCAACACGAACTAATTATTATTATTTCCTTTAATTCCTAGAAGAACATAGGGCTTCAGCCCCACGTCCCCATTGCGTTCGATTGTCTGCCAACGTTCTCACTTGGCTCCACGTCTGCTCACATGATTTCATATCCTATTCACATGACCTCCTCCATGTCGCCCTCGCAATGAAGACTAACTCGCCACTTCCCTTCCCGGTTCCACTCGAGTGATGGCCTGGCGTGTGATGTCACGTGATGGTCTGTTTTCTCTGAGTTTGGCCAATCCATCTCCATTTCCTCCTGCATATTTCTTGCACAATCGGTTCCTGGTTGGTTCGCTCATTGCCAGAGATCCCACTCTGTTAGTGATCGTTTCTGGTCATCTAGTCTTGAGTAGCATTGAGCGAAGACAGCTGTTAATCAAGGTCTGTAGTTTGTTTGAGGTGCTGTTTATGACGCGCTGGCCAAGTCTCTGATCCGTGTAGTGAGTAGCACTGACTGACTTCACATCGGAGTTGAAATTCCAGATCGTATTATATTCATGCTGAGTAGTGCTGTTGACCTCCACACAAACTTGAGAGTACTGAAAGCTTGTCTTGCTTTCCCGATGGTCCTCGCTTTGATATCCTCATCAGTTCCGTCCGCCTGTAGTTGAAACGATGCTTCCCAGGTAGGTGGGTAGGTAAAAGAGGTTGTTTCTACCAGGTTCCTCCCATTTATACTGGCTGATTGTTGTCAGTTGTTGTTGTTGCTGTTGGTGTTGGCCAGGAATATTCATCACCACATCTGTTTTCTCTCTATTCACCTGAAGTCACATCTTCCCTGGATGCTTCTTCTATCGCCAACTTGTTGCTTTTCACTTGCATATCTTCCAGTTTGTGGGAAAACAGACATTTATCATCGGCGAAGTCCAGATCCTCCAAGTCCTTTTTTGTGTGAGTAGATTTTATGCCTGTTTCCTCGCTGTGCCCGCTGTCTGTCTCATTGTCCAATCAACTGCAATCAGGAAAATCATTGGCGATAGTAGTCAGCCAGTCAGCTCGTCTTACTCCCGTCCTCACTTCGAAGGATTCCGTAAGTTTCCCGTTGTTGATAACTTAGCATGCAGCATTGTCGTACAACTGCTGGATGAGATGTACGATTTTCGATGGAACCCCGTAGTAGCCAAGTAGTTTCCAAATCACCTCTTGATCGACGCTGTCGAAGGCCTTTTCAGAGTCGATGAAGTTGAGATAGAGGGATGACTGCCATTCCAAGCTTTGTTCAATGATGATTTGTAGTGTGGCGATTTGATCAAAACATGACTTGTTTCTCCTGAATCCAGCCTGTTCCTGTCGAAGTTTTTCATCCAGGGCTTGTTTGACTCTCTCTTCAACACGTACTAATATTCATAGTTAAGTGAGGTTACGAACGGTGTCAAATTGTTCAATCATGCTATTTTAAATTACAGGTTTACAACTGATAAGCATAACAAGCAAATGAGCAGAAGCAGTATAATCGAAAACCTGTGATATTTTCATATATTTTTCATACCACTGCTATATATATATATATATATATATATATATATATATAACACCTACACAGATCTGTCGTTAAGAAGCCAAATACTTTATCTGCAACCCCTTTATTCACACCTGTCCCCTTGTATCTCATCAGGTAGGATGAGAAGTCTATATAAAAAGTTATATGCTCGTACCACTAAGTACAGAAATTCTACAATACCCTATTTAGCCAGTACTTCATGTGACGAAGACTCCGTTAGACGTGAAACACATAAGTTACTATGTAATTAGCACAGTGAATCGACCCTTTCATTGTTCATCTTTCTGTATTATATGGTGTCCCATTTTCTATCGTTTAATTATAACTTTGCTATTTTATTTTAGTTGTTATTACTTTTATTACTACAATTTTGTACTTTATGCATATTTTTCTCCGTATTGCATATAGTGTTTTGCTATGTAGCTGCTATAACAACGTTTTATTATTTCTATGTAATGTTTACTTTTATTATACTTTTTGTCGTTTTTTGAGTAAATTAGATGCAACATTGTACTGAATGCTGAAAATTCCTTCCTGTATCTTTAGTATTGTTTTTGGAATAAAGCAAATTATCATTATCATTATTATTATCAACACCAAGTTGGTGTTTGCTAGGTCATCTGAAATCTAGCTGATATAACCTCCTACATAAGAATATTAAATACAATATGACTACCCGCTCTTTTTGAACCATAAGTAGATGCAGGACAATCCTGTAGTAATAAGCCAACCACACATACACACTTTTCCAAGGTATTAAATATTTTAAACAAATCTCACCTTATCTGGGAATGTCAAATTGCACGTGGGACAACATATAACCGAATCACCAACACTCCAACCGTAAATTCTACCACGTTGATTCATGATGACACGTGGTTCTTCAAGTTGACATGGTTTAGCATTAAAGCTATCCACATAATAAACTGGTATGTATTTACTGCAGGTTGGATGACCTGCCTGTTTCAAGTGTTCCAATGCGTCTTCTTCATTGGTTCCCAGAAAATCACATATATCACACATAAAATAACGAACTAAAACGCACTGATTACTGGTTATCGACTCCATATAATATTCCATGCAAACTTTATTGGACAGTCGTGAATAAATATGCTGAAAATCTGCCTCAGATATCATGTAATCATAAATTTCAGAAGGAATATGTTCTGAATTCATTATTATTTCACTTCTCATTTCATCACTCATAGTTAAAAGGAGCTGACACTTGTCTGTCTCAGAAAACGGATATCTCTCACAGTTTTTCAAGATTGTATTGGGGGGGTATCTGTGATGATCAGTATTGATTAATCTGGCCAAGGGATTTGCGGACATTTCTCTATTCCACCGATTACGAAACTCATTACGTGCTGTCATCAACTCATTCATAGGATAAATAGACACACTTTGATTGCAGGAGGCTTTGTTAGCTACAGACATTTTGGGAAATGTCTTAATTCCTAGATTAAAAAACCGAAAACAAAACAGCAGGATTTCTAAAAACGAAAGACTAAACCAAGAGTTAATATCGTAACAGATAATTAAAATACAAAATCCAACATACAATAACTGTCTGATTTATGTAATTCGAATCCAATATCCAATATCGTTTTTACAAGCTAGTATAAACTAATTTGATTCCTTTTTGTGCTCGCCTCTTGATTGTGAGATAGCCGGTATCGTCGTCAAAAGAAAAGAGATAATTGTAATAATAATAATAGTGGTAGATATAATTAGTGAAGCTATTCAGACTAACAGACAGAAAAAGAAATTAAGGAAACGTAACAACAGTCAGCAGATTAAATTTTAAGTTGACATATATATATTGTTGTGTTTTTCCTTCACGTCCCTCAGTGGAACATAGAGCTTCAACCTAGTGGCTTGAAGTTTACTTCACAGGATGGGGTTGCTAGCCTCATGCCCAACCTTTCCTCTTTACCAGCATTTATTCTGGCTTAGCGGGATAAAGGAGTGCGTCGGCCGGGAATCGAACCCCGGACCATGTGCATGGTCGGCGAGCGTCCTAACCGCTATGCCACCGACGCACAATGTATATATATATATATATATATATATATATCGGTAATAATAATATTAATGTGCAGTTTAAGTTGTCAGGAGAGTAAGACGGAAGAGAATGTAAAGAAGTGAATCGAAGAATTTAGATGTTTACCCATGATTTCTGTTTGGGATTATAAGGAGATAGGCCATTTGGACACAGTCCTTGTGTCGCTGAATGATTGTCCAGCCTTTGCTTAAAGGCGTTCACAGACGGTGCCATAGCTACATCTGCTGGTAAGGAATTCCAGGGACAGCATACCCGCAGTGAAAGGAAGAGGGAGCATACCTGGGTCCTTGCCCTCTGGTGAGCTATCCTTCTGGGATTTCCACGAGGAAGCCTATACCTACTCAATGACAGAACACCTTCGTTTGGGCGATTCTGGTCATTCGTTATTTTGTAGGCACTAATCAAATCCCCCCTAAACCGACGGTAGCTATGTGTGGGGAGACAGGGGCTGTTGCGCAAGATATCATGACGGTTTATCTATATCGAACCAGTTCTTCGCAACAACTGTGGTCGGATCACAACTTTATATGTCAATGACGTTTTCTTAATTGGCATACATGGTGGTTTGAGAAAACTGGATGACTTCAATGAGGTTTCTAGTGACTTATTACTTGAATTGAAAGATCTATTTGTTGTCAAATTCGAACATGTTGTTGGTCAAACTGAAGTTCATTTGACAGTTTATTCGGAGTTTTTGAGACAGGTATATCCATGCTGTTATTTATTTTAAGCAACCTGATACATAATAAAATAACAGCCGTATTTCCAATTGAGCACATTTCTATTTGCAGAATTCTCGTCATCCATTCACCAGAAGATGATAGTTTAGTCGCTATCCCAAACACTGGTTTTGGGAAGTGATTTGTATGCATACATCAGCATTGCAAACCATCTAGAGCCTGTGTATACTGGGGATGGATGGTCATTGTTGAAATTCTCTCAACTACAGGATTTTGGTAAGTCGGATTATTTCATTATCACCCTTCTAGACACGTATGAGGATTGTCAAAAAAAGTATACACGTTTTGACAAGCTATGGTCAAAGCACTAAGAAGATGGACACGAACGATGACATGTTGCCAGTACCTAGCAGAAGACCTAAAAGAAATTAACCGGTTAGTACTTAAAAATTATTTATAGATGCTGCAATGGAACTTATCAATTTGTCTACGAAAATCCTGAACATTGTTACAATTAACAACAAATCTCGACTGGAAACCGACCCTCCAGGAAACAATGACATAACAGTGGAGTTTGCCATCGAGAATGAAGACCAGTTAGGGCTGAGATACTGCCCCGGCGCCCAGACCGAAGCAGGTGGTTTTATTAAGGGACCACCCCCGAGCCTTCGACTTGGAGTCTAATCCGCAAGGCAGCGGAGCAGCGTCAGGAGCTGCATTCGCATGGTTGCCGGTGACCCATATGGGTTTGGACGAAAAGTACAAACAGCAGTATGTGAGTTGACATATTTAATTCTTATTTCTTGTAGACTGCTAAGATGGTTAGATGCCTTCAGAGTGATCCAAAGTTATCACCTAAGGCCATGATGCACCACGTTCGAAAAACTGAAGTGGGTTTGAAGTTTACATTCCAGGGGACTTTGACAATGTCCAGAATTATGCCTTATGCCTTTTATAAAATAATGAGATGTAAGTTTCACTAACCAAGTACTTGGTTCTGTAGCTGTAATTATGTCGCAGTTCTCCGGCCAACTAATGACGTTGAGAGAGGTTGGTGACATAATGGATAAGGCCACGAAATCGTACTTTCATAGTTTGAAAGATCGTGTTCAATGGCGTAAGCGGAAGTAAGGAATTCAGTTAATATTGCGAAACGTCTGCTTACTTTTATAGGTCAACGTTTATTCAACATGTAGTAATCACAACATTGTTTTCATTTTTAGGCAAATGAAAAAGATACCAGGGGATACAACAGTGGCAGTTATGTACGTAAACTTTTATAAATATAAGTGCTTAGAATGCGCTGAGCACAAATTTTCATCAACTAATCTTTTATTTTGCTTATTTGCAGGATGCTACCAGTGGATCTCACTTGACGGAATTGCAGTGACATTTTACTACAGTTTATAAATACAAAAGTCTCTCAATTATAAAAACTGATTTCTTTCTGTAAACTAAATTAATTGCGCCGGCGTAGGACACAGGTGATGATAATAAGTAGCCCCGGCCGATAACTGCTACCTTGTCGTGGTGGTCGGGCTTGAATACCGTAATGACCCAGCATGCTAAACTGACTGGGACTCTGTCCCTGCAGGTCATACCATATCAGGAAGGTTGTTTGGATAGCGGTTAAACGTAAAGCAGTTACCATGGGGTACATGGGCTCCAGTATTGGATCGGACCAAATGGCGTATGAACCCATATGGGTCACCGGCAACCATGCGAATGCAGCTCCTGACGCTGCTCCACTGCCTTGCTGATTAGACTCCAAGTCGAAGGCTCGGGGGTGGTCCCTTAATAAAACCACCTGCTTCGGTCTGGGCGCCGGGGCAGTATCTCAGCCCTAACACAATGAATTGAATAAAGCGAGAAACAATCAATAAAACTTATCACGTGCTATCACACGTGTTGCAATTTCCTTCTTTCTTCCCTTCCCGATGATAGTTAACCAATACTGTTTGAGCTTGTTAAGCATGACTGTTTTCCTTCCAGATGAAGTTTTTTATCCGTTCTCTACTTATATATATATATCTTCTTTTTTTCTTTTGATCTATGTTGTTTTATTATTATTGTGTGGCGCATCCTTCTTGGTGCTATATTGTACCAAGTTTTTATGCGTTTAAATAAATAAATAAATAATAAGCAGAAGTCTTTTCGTTCTAAAGTAATGCTAGTCAGTGCTGAAAATGATCTGAAAGGGCTGAAATAAAGCTAATAAGCTAACCCAGTAGGTTCTGATCTACTCCTGGAAATGCCTAAAAAAATAACACGGCGCTGAATTAGCGCTAGCAATGCTGAAACCAGCACTGAGTTCTAGTTTGTGCCACTAAACAATCCATTTCAGAACAGATTCATAATTTACTCACTATAGGATGCTAGAATTATTTCAGAATTACTGAGATTTAATTCAGAATTATAGACAACCGTGTTCAGAGACGTCCTCAGCTAAATGCTGAAGAGCGTGCACATTGTAAACCAACTCATCAGGGTAGAGGCTGTCGAAACATAGTACATATTGCCTGAGCTGTTGATTTACGGTGTTGCACAATTTAAGGTGATAACGAGGATGACATAAAATGTAGACACTCGTGAACAATCTGAAGAATTTTGCGTACAATGGAGTGGGCAAAAGGTTATGTAATACAACTGGACCCAAATACACGAGAAATATCCGGCATTCAGTTGCCTTCCAAAAGTGAAGAGACTCAAAGCTGCGACACTTCCTTTGGAAGTCATTAGGAATGCAGCTTTCCGCATCCTGTAGCCTTTGGTTAATACAAGCAACTGTTTCATTGCTTAATCCGAATTGGCGTTGTTTTGCCAAACGCAACCATATACCCAATTGCCGCTTTACAACACCTAAGCAGACTAAATGCATGTAATCTAATGGAAAAGTACTAACCATATCAATTGGCAGTCTCTCAAATACTGATGTGTCACGGTGGTAATCGGCATCATCCTTACTCCTAAAGCTATTATCTGTCCTGCGACAGCTGTTAACATCCTTGAATACCATGCGCCGGTCTACATGGTTTCCAGTAACGCAACATCTGTCACACCTTTTCCTACTGTTGTGACTTGCTGTAAAAGTGACATCAGATCTTGCAGGCTTATTGCAGATGACACTGTTAAGCCGGAAGCCGATGTGCCTCTCATTGATTTGCAGACCATGTGCATATAAATGCTCCATGTCAGTTAAAACTGGCATTAAAAAGTTACTGAAGTCAGACGGTTTATGAAAACCACCATAAACTCCAAAAAGGAATATATCACTAAGAAACGGTTTCACCAGTCTACCCAATATCGGCCAAACTTGCTGTGTACCATTGTTAAACAGTGACAATCCATCAACACTCAGCTGCAGACTAACGCAATCAAAAGATGCAAACTGACACCAACAACTCAGTATAGGCGTAAGTATATATATTTACTACCAATAACAGTTGAGGAGCATGACTGGCTAGTTTTCAGGTGTCTTATATTTGTTGGTAAACTTGGAAGACGCCGTTTGAATAATCGCATTCTCTTTACACCATCAACAATGGATGTTTTAGTAGTCAGAATAAGCTTAAAGGCTGTCGCCCTAAGTTCTGCCTTTGAATTGAGTTCTTCTGCCTTATTGGAACATTTCTCATGAGACAACAGAGCGCCCGCGGCAACACCTTATCATTTGTCGTCGCATGAAATGCTAAGAAACCAACTTGGTAAAGTGATTTGCATGTCACTTTCCACGTTTACGACGCTACAAGAAGTTTCATCTACTTGACATTCGCCAGCCTCGTCACTAAAATCGGGAAGTATCATCTTGGCTAAGTCACCGAGCAACTGCGACTTCAATCTCGTAGTTCTTCTATACAATGTGGATCGGTGGCATGTCTCTTTTTCAAACAAAGCTAAAGCACAAGGCTATATTAACAAGAATAAAGTACTTCTAAGGCATCTACGGGGATTTACATTACTAAAACTTGGTACTACCTCACCTTCAGGGTGACTCTAAAGAATAGCGGCCCAAACCGAAACGAACTTTTAACGCAAAAATGACCTTGACAGGGACAACTTCGGCCAATGAGAAGGCTAAAAAAAAAGGCGCATAATTGTAAAAAACGGTTTAAGTAATGCAATCATAATAAACAGTTACAAAGAATGGCGTTCGCGTATATGTTGCAAAAAAGCCTACCAGTTTCTCATAGGAGTCTTCATTATCATAGGAAACCTGTTTCGGTACATAAATCCATCCAGGTATTTGTGAATCATGGGATTTCTCGATCCATTAACCGCTCTTATACGTCTTTTTAGACGACTCCAAAATCTTTCAATGGAACTGGTGTGGGTTCCATCCAAAGGATTCCGGAAACCGTCCGTGTGATTAACAACATGATGAATGTACCCATGATTCGATAATTGACGGCATCCGCTCCATTCATCTGTATGAATGGTCGTCCCCGGCAACACCAAACGCTTATTAATAGGCACTAATACTGCGATTGGGAATCGCTTCTATATACCCTTTGCGCAGTGTCGTGTCGCAGATACCCAGTATCCACTGCTGGTTTGCTTGTAATCTCCCGCGGTTGTATTTCCTTTTTATAAGTACAGTCTCATCAATATGGACTATGCTGCCGACTCCTCCGAGAACTTGAGTCAGGGTGTTCATTTTCCAGGAGGAAACATTTCTGCAGTAGTTGAACCATTGCACTGCTGACACCTCTGAATTTTCTGTTTCATAAGCTGTAGCTGTGACTGCTCTTTTCAGGACCCAGAAGTTACAGATCATTAAAATTTTCGTCAAAGGTAGTTTAGACCTTGAGAGAAAAGTTCCTAAGGGATCTGTAAACAAAAAAACAACGAAAAACCTTCTCGAACCAATTTCCTCTTTCGACACTCAATACATCTGTATACAAAGCCATCAATGGCCTCTGTGTATTTTTGTATATGCATAACTCCTCCGCATTGGCAAATTTTCGACAAAGCTATCAGTCCGTTATCCAAACAGTAATAGAAAACATCCATAGTGCGTCTGTGGCACAGTGGTTAGGACTCTCGCCGACCATGCACATGGTCCGGGGTTCGAGCCCACGCCGGCGCACACCTGATATCTATGGTCGGCCTGCAAAATTTGGGCTACCGATATCCATGCTGAAAATTCCATACTTGAACCAAAAATACAGTGTGGAATCAAGCTGTAAATCAAAAATAAAATAAATAAAAAAATAAAATAAATAAATCATTACTTCCGAAAATGATACAGTCAACTGATTCCTCGCTCAAGGACACTTTTTTGTTCGAAGGTCGTTTCGGTTTGGGGCGCTATTCTTTAGAGTCCCCACTTTCAGTATCCATTTTATTAGCTTAAAAAAGACACTACACTACCAACAGTTAACTCACCAGCTCAGGGGTGCAGGCAGCCTGTCGGACAGCCTGTCGACGGCCATGCATCGGTGGCACAGTGGTTAGGACTCTCGCTGACCATGCACATGGTCCGGGTTCGAGCCCGCGCGGACGCACACCTGATATCTATGGTCGGCCGGCAAAATTTGGGCCACCGATATCCATGCTGAAAATTCCATACTTGTACCAAAAATACAGTGTGGAATCAAGCTGTAAATTAAAAATATTAGAAAAAAAATAGTAACTTTGAGTGACCGCGAATGAGATAAACAAGCGATTCGCTCACTTGTGATTGGCCAGTTTGTCATTCGAGTTGAGGCAATTTCAAACATCATTTTGCTGCTTCGTTAAGTTCTGAATTTCCGTGAGCGTTTTATCAAATTGGAGAGATAATTAACAACACAAATTATTACAGCTCAGGAAAGAAATGATATAGCAGTGGATTTATTTGCTGAATTCAATGAATTCATCTTATATCAAGATCTAGGGAATTCGTAGGAGTGTCATGAATGCATCCAGTGTTCCGAAGAGGTGATAACTTCAAGCAACTTCAATTATCGCTTGACCATTATTTTCAGAGATCCTTAAATAAGTATAATATACACAGTGGTCTGGCTAACCATGATAAAAACGACATGGTATACTTTTGTATATATACAAAAGTATACAAGAACACAGTTCATCTAGGTTTACCTACATATATGTAGGTAAACCTAGATGAACTGTGTTCTTGTCACGAAGATCGGAGAGCAGGCATCAGATTTCTCAGTAAGCAGTGTAATACATGTAGGGTACATGTTTTTATTTGACATAAACTGGATCTCCACTCACTTTCAGAATTAGTCTTGAATTTAGTTGGAATAAGCTAGGTGAGAACATCAGTATTGACAGAATACAGTGAAAGTAAGTAAACACACGCTTCTTAAGATTAAGCGATACATTTATTTGATATGATTGTTTTATTATCAGTCGTCCATCTAAGTTAATGATGGATTCGTTGCGATAATAATACCTATTATTGTTTTTATAGTCACTATGAACATGAATGTTATTATTATTGCTGTCAAGACCTATTATTTGTCATAAAGTCGTTGCCATTTTTGCTAAAATGTTTGTACAAACTTTGGAAACTATTGCATAACTTGTCGTTAAATAATTTTATCATTTCATGATGCTTCGATGGACCTACTAGATACCGACCAACGATAAATTGAGAAGTCCCTTAAGTTTAGTGAAAACTACTGGGCTACTTATATATATATATATATATTGTTTGTAAAGTGATTACTTGTAAATGCTTATCAGGAAAATTTTTTTATTCAGATCACACATATAATACCCAAGTCAATAATGCTTTTCCTAAACCTTTTCAGACTTATGGAAAAACATGTATGTGCCGTGTACGCAAATGGAACTTACTGACGGTAACAGAGGACTACTCATCTGAATTATGTGTCCATTTGAAATCTGACTTTTGTTTAATGAACAATTTTTCAATGAATCTGTGTTCCTTCTGTTGTAATGCGATTATGTTCCAGCAACATAAGTAACACGTGCTAAGTTAGAAGTTTAGGGTAAACTGTTAGGGGTAAATGCAGCGTCTGGAAAACTTTTGTTTACGTGATTATATGAGTAGATAGCAAAGTACCGTGTTCCGTGGCTGAGAACCTTAGGCATTCTGTTTTTAATTATTGCGGTAACGTAGTTGCACTGAGTTATACATCTAACAGTATAGTTATAGTCTCTCCTCATGGCACATTACGGCATGCAGAAATCACAAGCAAACTATCCCAGGTAGATTTATTTTCACTTTGTGACTATTAATCGCGAATCAGTATATGTATTCTGCCAAGACGATAGATAACTCGAAACGCTTTATAATCGCAAGGCCTCCTCTACGATTTAGACATATTTACTTTATTTGACTACAACATAATGTTTTACCAATAAGCTTCTCCGAATATCTGCTCCTACTTAGTATTTCAAAGATAGCCTCATATACTCTGTACCTCACAAATTACGCTAAGGCTAATATTCGGTCTTATCAAGTAGAATAAACAAACGAGTAACGAGGAATACATTTATTAATGAATTAACATGTAATACAAAATCGACAACAGTGCAGGTATCTTTTTCTTTATTACCCAAATCCATGAAATTCCCAAAAGTAGATATCATCTGAAAAAGAACATAAGAATTATACAGATGTAGACATTGTTATCAGTGTAAACACAATAATTAACCATGAAATAGGTTTAAAATGACGAAATAATTAGTTGAATTGTATATAATTACGTCAGTAAACATTTTTCAATGATACAAAGTCGATATTGCATCTGCCTGCAAACGTCAAGTTTATGCCATAAAATAAGGAAATACTATGCGTATATAATTTCTGAGTATTTCTGCAGATTTTTCTTAAAGAAATACATGTGGAGGAGCCTTGTCAGCATTAGGAAAAGTACACAGCAAAGTAAATGAAATAATTACCAAAACGAGCTATCCTACCTCATCATGTCCATGTGTAATCCATTAAAATGCAAACAAATTCACGAAATGGTCGTTATAACATGTGTCTTCAAGCAATTCGACATATTCCGAACGGAAAAGTACGTTTTTTCAACAAACTGCAAACTGCCTGTAAGCTACGGCAGGATAAGGGCACCACCATTGCCTATTTATGCTAAATACGCCGTATTTCATCATCTTTTAGTTGGAATATATGTAAAAAGTGTGTAAAACAACGAAAAATGACTTAACCTTGACGTCTTTTCCAAAAATAACGCCAATATCCATCAGCTGATCAAATGACCTACGGCCGTCTACAGGCTTTCCAGCCTGTCTATGTAAATTAGAGTAAAGCCTGAAGAAGATCTAATTGAAAACAATATTGTTCGCTCATACGTCTTATTCTAATAGTGAGTATAAAGCAAATCATTGGTCTACATAATAGAAATGCTCACACTTGAAGACCTCAGGTGTCAGTATTTTTTAATGTTGAATTTTCCAGTTAACATATAATAAGAATTTAGTCATCATAGACAAACTATGTACTGTCGAACCAACTGTCTACCTAAACACATACTTGATATAATTAACGGCAGTAGTTATGATAACGTTGACTATAACACGCAGTCGTATTATACATTTTTGCAGCATTAACTTAGTTAAATTGTCACTTACAGCAGAGATCCTCTGGTCACTGTCCTTATTGTCAACAGCAACCTTTAAAAAATAAAAATAGAATTTGGTTGGTTGATATTTATACCACGAAACAGTTTGTAGTATAGCAACATTAATTTAACAAAAACTGTTTACTTACTCTTCGCCAGCTCCCCCTTTTTGCTACGCGATCACGTACGTCGTGGAAGTAGGCCTTTGCAGTCTCTGTCAAATTTTTCATAACTTCGTCCTCAGGCATTGTAGCAGAAACGAACTTGCTGACAATGACGGCTGAAAGAAATATTTAAATAGAGCAAGCCTACACGTTATGACTTTATAGAAGTAGCATTTTGTGGTGGCTAACTTCTTTGATGTTCCGAATGCTGTGAAACGACTTGACAGCTTAGCATTCGTCTCAACGAAGACTGCGGATTAAAAGATAAATTCCCAGCCAGTTTCGTCATCTGAACATAATGGAATGTCAGTTGTAAACTTACGAATGAATCTTTGAATTTCGGGCTTTTCATTGACGCTTCCAGTTGGCTAAACTCTTCTTCAGTCGCCGGGGGGGAATTCCAGTTGACTATTGTCAATGGACGACCTCCCGGTTCCCAAGATGGTCACGCCGGTTGACTTATTTACTGAGACCAACTGCGCCACCAGTTTATTAAGGGACTGCACTTCTCCTCTAAGGGACTGTAGTTCACTGACCACTTTGTCATTGGAATCAGTGTTTTCCTTACTGCAAAGTAACCACTGATTAGAAATAACATACGTAGTCTGTTGAACTGGCTGTGGGATTGGTCAAGACGTCGCCACTGGCATTTGTGGACTGGAAGTGCTGAAGGAGTAAGAATATTAAAAGAATGCGCTACCTGGCTGTCGGTGCCATCACAGTTTCCTTGAAATTGGTGTTTGGGTATTTCGATGGCAAACACACTTTCTATGTCTCTACTGCTTCAAGTTCAGCTGAGTCATAAACGTACGAGGCGGAGTTCTTTGTCTTCTCTCTGTATTCTGTCACTAACCAATAAGAAGAATCTACCTTTGACGTTTGAAATTGGTTAGGGGTAATGTCTCCTCGAGATTATCTAAATTAGACAGGATATTGTGTATTCGTTTTGCAGTCAGCAAAGTACTCTTGGCTTCTAGGAAGGAGTCTAATTACGGGAATGTAGTTGATACCAAAACAGTTACCTTGCTCGGCTAACATCTGATAGTCAGTTAACAGCCGATTCGGTCTAGGTCTTATACATGCTTCAACCTCAGATTCTGTTACATTTCTGTGATACAAGCACATATCATCCAACGGCACCCATTTTTTGGCGGCTATGAATAATTCTTTTGAACCAGCTTTCCGTAACACAGAGTAAGTCTTCTTTTCCTTCTGTAAGAGATAAGAAATATGATGTAAACAAAATTTACGGTCTTATTA